ATAATAATAATAATAATAAGACCACAATTGAGCCGAAAATTTCCATTGCTAAGTGAGACAGTCGTTAAGTGAGTTTTGCCCCATTTTGCAACCTTTATTACCATGGTTGGTTAAGTGAATCACTGCAGTTGTTAAGTTAGTAACACGGTTGTTGAGTGGATCTGGCTTCCCCATTGACTTTGCTTGTCAGAAGTTTGACCACATGACCCAAGGACTGTGTAAAGGTCAAAAATATGTGTCAGTTGCCAAGGGTCTGAATTTTGATCGCATGACCATGGGGATGCTGCAATGGTTCTAAGTGTGAAAAACACTTTTTTCAGTGCCATTGTAACTTCAAACACCCCCTAAAAGAATAGTTGTAAGTTGAGCACTGCCTTAGATTCCCATTATATATTGAACTATAACTTAATTTTGGGCCACCTAATGAGAAGGAAGGACTCACTGGAGAAGAGCCTAATGCTAGGAAAGATTGAGGGCAATAGAAGAAGGGGATGACAGAGAATGGAGTCACTGAAGCATTAGGAGTGAGCTTAAAGGGACTCCAGAAGATGGTAGAGGACAGGAAGGCCTGGAGGAACGTTGTCCATGGGGTCGCGATGGGTCGGACACGACTTCGCAACTAACAACAACAAATAACTTAATTATTGGACTGAGTGTGTGCAGACTGCTAGAGTAAAACATAGTTGGCTTAGTTAGAAGGTGGTTCAGTGTAATACTTAAATATAGTCAGCCAAGAACTTCATCCTGGATAGCCGTGGGCTGTTTCCATGACTGCCCTCCCACATAGAGTGTTTGAGAGTAAAAGATGGGTGGAAAAAAGCCTTTTACCTTCAAGAGGTTCAGGGTCATGTGTAACTAAAATGAATAACTGAAAATCACCGAAATCACTGAAACAAGTGATTTATGGCCGTTTTTCACACTTACAATCATTGCGGCATTTGGTCATGTGTTCAAAATTCAGATGCTTGACAACTGACTCATCTTTATGATGGTTGCAGAGTCCCAGGGTCGTATGATCACCTTTTACGACCGTCTGACAAGCAAAGTCAATGGGGAAGCAAGATTCACTTAACAACCGTTCCCTAACTTAACCACTGCAGGGAATCACTTATCAATGGTGACAAGAAAGGTCATAAATTGGGGCAAAATTCACTTAGCAAACATCTGACTTAGCAACAGAATTTTGGGCTCAATTGTGGTCATAAGTCAAGGACTACCTGTACTGAAGCTCCACCCCTTTTTAAAAGTACATCGAATGGACATAAAAAGAGGTGAGGCTTCAATACTGTGGTTGCAGCTGCCATCCTGACTATTTTTGACCTTCCCACAGATGTCCCTGCTCCCCTCCTTTTCTAACACAATAGGTACCTATAGTGATATAGAGATATGTAGGAAAAGAAGTTAAAAAAAAAACAACCAAAGAAATAGACTGCAAAACTTTAGACATAAGAGTTTTCAGTATCCCTTTTCTCGTTCGGATGGATCTAAAAATAAATGAACAAAAGTGGATGAAGCCAAGGTGAGAAGAAGGCAGGGCATTAAAGAAAGAAAAGTGAGTGTAACGTTAAATAAGTGACTTTTCCAAGGCAGGAGCTAATCTTCAAAGCCAGAGGCAATGTCATTATTTGCACTTCCTGTCCATTAAATCCTGCCATAGTTATATAGGCACACAGAGTCCTTGTGTTCTCAAGGCAAACAAATTGGGTTTCTCAAATATCAGCCTTTGCCATTCTACTCACATCAACACCTGTGGCAGGTAAATAATACAATGGCTTGCTTTTAAGTTTCGTTAACCGTTTTTGGAAATTGATGGTAAGAATCCCGTATCAGCTCCAGGAAAGACTCAAGCTGTTTTGACATTCTTTTCACCCATAATGGGGAGATGCCAATACAGGTAAACCTCGAACTTACAACCACAACGGAGCCCAAAATTTCTGTTGTTTAAATGAGACATTTGTTAAGGGAGCTTTGCCCCATTTTACAACCTTTCTTTTTTTTTTTTAAGAAAATTTTATTAATTTTCTAGTTTTACATTTAAATATTTAAAAAGCAACATGGCGGCTGAGTTAATCGATAATTCAATAACATACAAGTATCTTTGGCACAGATCTCAAACTATTACATTAAATATTTCCTCTCTTTTCCTCTTAGTATTTACTGTCTCATATTTAAATAATACAATTCTTATTATGTCGATTAAATAAAAATGACTATCTTACATTTATCAATAATTTGTAGTTTATACATATCCTAGTTATTTTAACATTCCATCTTTATAGGCAATCAATGTCCTAATTAGTTTTTCCCAATTTTTAGTTTCCCATTAATATTTAAATTTAACATTTAATGTTTATAATTTCCAAGTTTTAAATAACCCCAGTTCCCTTTATCACAATTCATCACAAGATCTAATGTTCAGGATACATGTCTTATCTATTTGATTTGTTAAGGGAGCTTTGCCCCATTTTACAACCTTTCTTTCTTGCAGCAGTTGTTAAGTGAATCATTCCAGTTGTTAAGTTAATGACATGGTTGTTAAATGGATCTGGCTTCCCCCATTGACTTTGCTGGTCAGAAGTTCGCAAAAGGTGATCACATGACCTCTGGACACTGTAACCGTTGTAAATATGAGTCAGTTGCCAAGCGTTTGAATTTTGATCACATGACCATGGGGACGTCGCAACTGTTGTGTGAAATATGGTCCTAAGTCACTTTTTTCAGTGCCATTGTAAATTTGAACAGTCACTAAATGAACTGTTGTAAGTTGAGAACTATTTGTACTTATCTATAGCAGCAGAACAGAAATAGAAAGCAGATACCAGAGATCTCTATTCTGCACCATTAAAGAAACAATTGGGTGGACAGAAATGGTGTATATAGCAAACACAAGTTACGTATGTCTTAGAGCAGTGATGGCAAACCTTTTAGACACCGAGTGCTCAATAACT